AAGGAAGGAAGGAAGGAAGGAAGGAAGGAAGGAAAGGGAAGATGGAAGGAAGGAAAGGAAAGGAAAGGAAAGGAAGGAAGGAAAGGAAGGAAGGAAGGAAAGGAAGGAAGGAAGGAAGGAAGGGAGGGAGGAAGGGAGGGAGGGAAAGGAAGATGGAAGGAAGGAAAGGAAGGAAGGAAAGGAAGGAAGGAAAGGAAGAAAAGGAAGGAAAGAAAGGAAGAAAAGGAAGGAAGGAAAGGAAGGATGGAAGAAAAGAAAGAAGGATGGAAGGAAGGAAGGGAAGGAAAGGAAAGGAAGGAAGGATGGAAGGAAGGAAAGGAAGGATGGAAGAAAGGAAAGGAAGGAAGGAAGGAAGGGAAGGATGGAAGGAAGGAAGGAAAGGAAGGAAAAGCAGGAAGGAAAGGAAGGAGAGAAGGAAGGAAGGAAAGCAAAGGAAGGGAGGAAAGGAAGGAAGGAGGGGAGCAAGAGGCTGACTCTGTAAATCACTTAGAGAGGGCTGGAAAGTACTGTGAAGCGATATATAAGTCTAAGCACGATTACTTTTGCTGTTTCTATCTGTCTGTCTATCTATTGGGCCATGGTGGCATAATAGTTAGAATACCATATTGAAGTCTAATTCTGCCCACTGCCCAGAGTTCGATTCTCACTGGCTGAAGGTTGACTCAGACTTCCATCCTTTCGAGGTCAGTAAAATGCAGACTCAGATTGTTGGGGGGCAAGAGACTGATTCTGTAAACTGCTTAGAGAGGGCTGGGAAGCGGTATATAAGTCTAATTGCTACCATAAGTGCTCAATGCAGCCAGTCCTTGACTTATGACCACAAGTGAGCCCAAAATTTTTGTTGCTAAGCATTGTGGCCCGCCGTTGGCTGATGGAGCTGGCAACAGAGTCAGACAGCAAGGAGGTTGTGGAGGAACCTGGGTCAGTCTTGGAGGCTGAGGAAGGCTCAGACGAGGGCTCTGCATCAGAGGCAGAGATGGGGCCAGGGCAGGCTGGCAGTCATCAGCTGCCTTCAGGCTCAGACAGCAGTGAGGCGAGGGAGCTTCTGGAACCGGTTCAAAAGCCAAAAGAAAAGAGCAGTTACGAACTAAGGGTCAACATGGGAGCAAGGCCACAGGTGGACGATGAATGGCCCCTCCCATCAGGATTAAAAGAGGAGCAAAATGGGAGGGGACTTTTGCAGGAAACAATTTGTTTGTTCATTTGTTCCAGCCTCGTGAAGATTTGTCTGCGTAACCCAGCCCTTCCCTGTCAACACTGAGTGTGGAACTATTTACCGGGAAGCTTTCCGAGATGGATAAGTTCTGAGCTAATTAGCATACCTTTGCAAGACTGTTTGTCAGGCCACTGACTGAACGGGAATACAATAAATTCGCATTCCTTTCATAAAAGAGGTTTCGCCGGGACACGGAGTTGCTTAGTGCTTCTTGGCGAAGCCTAGGACAGAACGCTAAGCGAGACAGTTGTTTAGAAACTCCGCTACCATACCTGGGGAAGCACAGGCAGCAAATGACAGGAAGAAGAGGACGAGGAGGCTCATCGTGACTTCCGGGGGTGAGTCGAATCTCTGAAAACCTAGTGGGGAAAACAAAACCCAGACGCGGTTAGAAACGAAGCCAGCAGAACTTCTGCTGAGTTTCGGGATAATGGCTGCAGGTAATCCTTGACTTACAACCATTTAGTGACTGTCTGAAGCTAACAACAGCACCGGTTATGACAGTTCTTCAACGTACGACTTCCCTACAGTCACGTGGTCGGTTGTAACTGGTTCATATTTACGATGGTCGCAGCATCCTGGGGTGGGGTGGGGTGGGATGTCTCGTGATCCCCTTTTACAACCTTCTGATCAGCCAAGTCAATGCCATTTGGACAGCCACTTGTCAGAAATGGTGTAGATTCTCCTGCTTTGTGGGGTGTGTGTGTCTGTAGGGGGTTGGGCTAGATGACCTACGAGGTCCCTTCCAACTGTTCTGACCCAAACCCTTTCCCCATAAAACAAACAATAACCAAAGGGAACAGAAACCTTTTAACGAGTCTTACGCATCCCCGGTTAAAAGGCTGCTGCAAACTAATTAACTTTGATAAGCATGAGCCTCACCAAAACTGTGTGAGGCTGCCAAGAATAACAGATAAGAAATATTTCACAACACAAGAATCTTCCAAGACCAACTTAAGTTACTGTAATGTCCACGAGGCTGAGTTTCAAAACGTCTTTGCTTCCTGCAAAGAACGTTCGCTTCACAGCTGGCTTTTATCTTCTTGAAGGAGGGGCCATCACCTTGCAGCCTTACTCCTGAGTCGCCCGTGCTGCTGCAGCTGTTCTTTCCTGCAAGCAATCCTGCGCGCACGCACACTTGGCACAGGCTCCTCGGGAACCTCCTCATCGCTGCTGCCAGCCCCCACAATCTCCGAAGGCAGCAGTCCACTCCCTGATAGTCCTGGCCCCTCATCTGTGTCCTTGCTCTCTTCAGCCATCCGCACCTGCTGCCGACTAACCACAACACCAACTCTGTTAATCTATCTATCAACGCGGGAGGCCAGATTGGCTTAATAAACCGTGTTATTAGTTTAACAACTGCAGTGATTCGCTTAACAACGGAGGGAAGAAAGGTTGTGAAAACGGTGCAAAACCCACTGAACAAATGTGTTACTTATACACGTAAATGTTGGGCTCAATGGTCAAGTGATAAATTCAGACTACTTCTGCTGAGCCCAGTTAAATTCAGTTTCTCTGAGTTTGTTTCTCACAATAGAATAACATAGTTGGAAGGGACCTCGGAGGTCTTCTAGTCCATCCCAGCCCTACAACTTCCCCAAGAATTGGACAGTTTCCCCTCCCAAAGACTTCTACAGCAAAACCTCAAGCATCCAAAATGTCATTTTATCAAGGCATCAAAATTAATTAAAATGAAATGGTCCCCCTTATTGGAAAAACTGCCTTCAAGATGCTTCCTACAAGCCGAGAACAATCCCCTTGATCTGTAACCCTTCTTAGGCGTCCCTCTCTGAGGAGCCTGATGCCAGCTGAAACACTGGGGCTCCATCAATGGGTGAATAACAGAATAACAGAGCTGGAGGGGTACCTTGGAGGTCTTCTAGTCCAACCCCCTACTCCAGCAGGAGACCTTATAACAATTCAGACAAACAGGCTGTCTAGTCTCTTCTTAAAAACCTCCAGTGTTGGAGAGCATTCACAACTTCTAGTGGCAAGCTGTTCCGCTGGTTAATTGTTCTCACTGTCACGAAGTTTCTCCTTAGTCTGAGGTTGCTTCTCTCTCCTTCTCAAAGTTCCAGGGAAGAAAGTAGGAGAAGAATGAGGAAGTGTGGACGGATGGTGTCTCTCCGGGCTGTTACTTCAAGGAGAAAACCACACCTCCAATTTGATCAGGGTCCTTTGGAGACCGGCAAACACAACAGGGCAAGTTGGAAGGTTGCGGGCAGCCCAGCGTCACAATCCGATGGAGGCAACTCCTCTGTCTAGGAAAACGGCGAGTTCGCTTTTGTGGTTTGCTCCTAACATCTCTGGCCATGGCTGACATGGGAGGAGAGCAGCTGCTATGTTTAGTCTATGGTAGCCGAAATCAGGAGAGGACATTTTTGAACTGGCACATTTTATTAGAAGGCATCAGTTTTTAGGGTAAGCTGAAGCTCACAGAAAGTGGTGTCTAGTCATAAAATGTGCTAGTCCAAAACAGAGCTAAAGGGATTCTTGAATTGTTCCCCCAAATCATGCTCCAAACGGATAAGACAGTGGTGAATAAAATATACTTTCTTTAGTAATGTAGATAGATATAGATGAGAGAGAGAGAGAGAGAGAGAGAGAGAGAGAGAGAGAGAGAGAGAG